TATACCAAAAAACAATAATCACCATCATTTGTGACTTTTTTTAAACCCAATTACAAAACAGTTGGAGCTTGGTTTAAATTGATCCCTGTCAGGATTCTTATCAGTTAAGTGACTACAGTTTCCCACAGTCAGAAAAAAGATTAATGGACCTTCTTCAATTTTCACGAATCAAATTGGAAAACCACAAGAGCCATATGGAAGTTAGTGTACAAAGTAAGTCCTCACAGTATTTTATTGCATAATGACATAACCCATTGTCAGCACCATATGTTTGGATCAAAACACATGATGTGTTCGTTGTTAAATAGGAAGACTATGTTAGAATAACAAACTTTATAGTTTGCTAGTTTAATATGTGTTGCTTAAACATATCTCAAACTAGGAAGCAGTTATATCAAACATTCATGATATAATTATCAGCCTTCTTAACATAGTCCAAGTTGAGTTGTTACCCTATAGTCGCAGACAGCTGATCAGCATGCCGCAGGCGGATAAACGCGTATGCAGAGTGCTGAACTAGTGCTAAAACAAAGTGTCTTATCGTGGAAAAGTAAAGTGCTGAGAATGTTCTCAATGTAGCATACATTAACCAGAATGTTTTTTACTTGGTTTTTCGTAAAATAAGATAAATTAAGGGGTACAAACCGCGCCATGGTTTTGTATAGCCTAGCTTTCATGCAGGTCTCCCAGTAAAGGAGCCACACCGACCGGCATCCCTGTGGCTGATACATTAAAAAAATTAACCATCCCTTTTATGTTGCACCGTAACTACTCAATGTTCAAATTATCAACTGTTTCAACCTTAACTTAAAATGTGGTGCTATGTCAATGTGTTTGCTGTCCGTAAGTTAAGTGAGATCATTTAAAATGTACTTATATTCAAAGTTTTAATAGACTTAAAGAATGTTTACATTTTTAAGACTAAATTCAGGTTGTTGTCCTGTTTTCAAGTAGAGGTAGAAATACATTTCTCCCTTACTGGAAAAGGAAATATTAGTGGTACCACCTTAGTAAAGTACAGTCCTAAAGTCAGTGTATTTAACTCCATCTCTTTGTCGGATATTGATATGTCCAATGGTAGGACATCAAAGCCCATATGGATACAAACATGCCATTGTAACATGTCAAAAACATATTTCTTACACATTTTGACATAAATATCATAAGAGTCAAGCCGGTCCTCAGTATTAAAGAGTCATTAAGTTAGATTTAATAAATGTCATTGTTAATAAATGTCATGTTCTATTTAATGGTATGTGAAGATTAATTTGATCCTTGAGACTCGCTTAACTGCTGCATCATGTTGTTTTATGTTGAAAGCAAACAGATGGCTGAAAACTCTGAACACCCAAGTAAAGTTTCTAACTTTGCCATTGACACTCTGGACACCATTCAGCCATTGCTCACAGATGGCGCACAGAATAACCTGAGAAGCCAAGCAGCAACCAAGGCCACCATGTGTGGAGCCACCTCTAATCAAGATTTGATGACAGAGTAAAACCATAAAAAAAAACAAAAAAACAACAGAATCAAACAAGCTCTTTGGGTTCCTCCCTGATCTGATATGGAAGAGATTAACTGAGACACACCAGCTGTGGGGCGTCAGAGCAGCTCTGCTCACGTATGTACCCATGCAATACATTTGCTTATTCATTCCACCCAGGACTGTAAAGCCCCAGACTCTCACTTCACTGTTGCATCGATGCCTTATTAACAGGAGCGTCATATCCAGCAATGTTTCTAGCCTAATCACATGTTGTACTGGTGTAGATAATGACAAACACATGTTTGGCAGTGGCTAATGTGAACCTGGCTAACCGATGCTTGTTCAGCTTTGACCTCTTCCTGTCCAGCCTTATGGAAAGTTTATATAAGAGACTCCCAAAGGTCACAGTCGCTTTTCGGATGCTACGCGCCATTCTGACCCTTCTGCCTCAGATGGGTGGGACCCAGAGAGCTGCTATATGTTAACAGAAATCGTAACACCCGTCTATGAGCTGAGAGCTGAGCCTGTAGAGAGCCAGCTGTGAATGTGCTCATAGCCCTGAGACTTGGCTCTGACACAGGAGACACGTGAGGGGGACTCTGGGTGGACTCCTCTCAGGCTCAAGACATTGAATATACATCCATACAGGCCAGTACATTCTGTACTCCCAAATGTGCACGCATACAGATGCATAAGATTTGCAGTATTAAGAAATAAGCAAAGATGGACACACATGTGCTTACAAATGTGATATGTGATTGCATAAGACTAACTCAACCACTTTGCCAACACCGGAAAAATGGTATTAAAGGAGATGCCTGTGCTAATCTCCAGATTGGCTGTTTTTGAAACAGAGACTAGGGGAAATTTACTTTTGGTTTCTTCAATTCTATTTCACATCTCTGAGCACTGAAATTAAGCCCTTGGGGTCTCATTCAAGAGAGACACAGCGGAGCCTGTTAGAAATGTCATCCCCTTTGTGTTTTATAGCCTTTCTTTCAGGTCTAAATCTGTTTTATCTGTTTTCCATTGGACCTTTTAGTCCTAGTAGGTGCTTTAATATCCAACTGTTTCACGAGTAGTTTAATTTGGGAATAGAAAATAGAAAAGCAGAAAATACAATAATACAAGATTTATTTTGTGCTTAGCAATGGGTGGACTAACTTTCCTGCTAAGTGCATATTGGTGGTACAGTACAAAATTTTATAATGTCGTCCATGACTTACTCATTTGTTCTTGTTTTATTGTATGCTGCTGAAAAGTGCTATATAAATAAACTTTACTTTACTTGTGCTATTTCTTGTTTTTTTTAACAAGATCTTGCTGCACCCTTTTCTTTCTTGGCAACTAAACAAAAAAAAAGTCACCAACTGTTTATCCCTGCGAACCTGACTCTATTTGCAAGACAGAATTGGAGCAAAACAGGCATGAATTTATCTTTTGTTATGCAAAATGTGGCTCAAATTAAGATAAGTTGGATGCAAACTCTTTTTCAAACAGGACTTTTCTGGCCAAGTCATCACAAATGAAATCCTCCAGACTCATGGTCAAAAAAAAAAAAAAATCTATTTATCTATTCACCCGTCCATCCATCCATCCATCTATCTATCTATCTATCTATCTATCTATCTATCTATCTATCTATCAGTTATACCTTTGGCTACAGGTCATGCTTTCTCTCCCAAACCTGAGTTCTCATAAAAACTGCCAAGCTCTTTCAAATGCAGTTGACGATCTCAATATTTACAGTTTTGCAAATAGATATCTGCTGATTGTAAACTCAGATCAAGTTTTTTTCTAATAGTTCTAACTTCTTTTTAGTTTCTAGCATTCATCCACAATGTATCTAAATGGCAAAGCTGCAGCAAAATGTGCTTTTCTTTTCCTCAGTCTTGTCAATAGTTCAGCATACTAATATTGTAACACAAAAGTGATTTTCTTCAAACATATGTTTGCCAGATTTCTGTGTTCACACAAATGGCTGGTTGCTGGGAAGGAAGGAAGGAAGCAAGCGCCTCCTTTTATGCAGCAATCTTGCCGTTAACAGTTAAATTGCTTCAATTGCCTTTGAAATTGTAAGAGTATCTCACAGATGCTGCCATGACGCAGAAGGTGAATGGTTTAAACTTACAGTCTGTGTCAGGAGGAGTCTCTGTGCCCTCACACTGGGGACGTGGATGTTTGTAATTTTAGCCATTGTTCTGTCTTATGTAATAGTTCTTCAGATCTCCAGGGGAATGGGGTTTTGAAGCAAAGGGTAGAGGGGATGTACCCAGGGCAAGCTGGGACTTCAGAATATACAACAGGGGCCCACCATGTAATCTCTGTGGGGTTTGAGGGTTTGACAGACAGGGCCAAGGAAAGAAAGAGAGAGACATGGAAAGAAAACTGTTTGGGTTTTCCCAGCTGCAATAACTAAAGTGATGGAGTGGTCTAGAACAGCATCTGCAGCGTGTTTCTGCTCTCTGTACCTTACCATCTTTCAAAGACAATCAGGATGGCTGAGAAAACGTTTAGAAGGGACCACACAGGCCCACTGTGCTCATAGCTGGTCGCAAATCCACGTCCTATCTCGCTAAAGCTACTCTTCTCCACTACTTTATTAGAAAAAGCCAGAGAGAGACATCCTCACACAATTTACAGTGACTCTGTAAGTATCCAACTGTGGGGAGGGTTGGGATATGCTGACTTGGTTACAGATGTTGGAAATGTTCAACTAGGACAAGAGACGAAAAGCGTATGCACAGAAAAAATACTGAACGGAAAAGAAAGAAAGGGAAGAGAAGGGAGAGTATTAAATAGCAGAAGCAGCCTTATGTATACATCATTTTTATGATGACTTTTACATTGAAGGATCTTGCATTAAACACATGTTTAAGCCAACAGGAATGCAAAGTGAGTAGACATCAAGTCTATCACAAGTGTGTGTGTGTGTGTGTGTGTGTGTGTGTGGGGGGGGCAATATAGACAATTTAGGGTTATTAACAACAGAACATTTCCAGCATAAACACGTTCATTTTCACTTCTGATATTGAAGCCTTGTAAAGAGACCTTAAGAACATAAATTATGGAAATGGGTGTAAAATCTGAAGAAATCTGGGTAAAAACAATGAGAACATTTGAAGGCTGCAATCTATGAGACAAGACTAAGTCATCATTAGACTTTACTATTATCTTTCACTTATTGCCTCTAATAAGACTACATTTAAAGCTGATCAGTTTCATTTTTACAACCTACATTGTGATAATTTTGCTGTGTTGTGTTCCTTACATAAGTCATTGTTGTTCCTCTTATGTCTGGTATACATATTACTCCAGATTACTATCTGCTGCAAAATTGTCTATTCCTGCATCTGTCATTCTCCCAAGGGAGGAGGAAGTTTTTCAAGATAATGTGGCAAAGGGGAGCCAGTATAGAGTTGTGCATGGTGATGAGGGGAGGGGGAGTGGTCTCAAGCATGTAAAGCTTCAATAAAAGGCACTTGTCTGGACCACTAAGGAGCCCAAACTTTCCAGTAGCACCACCGGCGGCTGCTGCACAAAGACAGATAGAGGGACAGCTAGATGAATTCAAATTAAAGGAGAAATAAATGCTAAGCTAAAATTTACCTTAAAATATTTAAAAGTTTGATAACTAAGTTGCTTTTTTTAAGTTTTATTTTTCCCCTTGTGTGAAAAAAAGAGAAAATGACGAGTCTGCTGTGCATCACGATATTTGTGCTGACTGTGGCAAGCAATGCATACAGCCAGGCAACATCTCCTCCCTTAACACCAATAGGTAAGATTTCATTTTTTTGTGGGGAAAAAAAGATCATAATGTAGAATTTGTGCATGTTTCTATCTTTTGTGAATGCATACATTGTTACTGTGCATGGGGAAACAAGAGAACCATAAGAATCAGATGTTTAATTGACCTGAGAAAAGTAGTGCCACAGCTCAGGATCCTGAAACAACAGAGTCATTGTAGCTGTAGGTAACAGAGTTGTCTCTGGGGTAAAACACACACTCTAACACACACTCTACACACACACACACACACACACACACACACACACACACACACACACACACACACACACAAACACAGACACAGACCATGTGAGTCACCACTGACTCACTGACCCACTGCATACAGAGCAGCACAGCACAGCTTGCTGTTCAGAATCATTCTGTCATTCACAAAGATGCACACTATCTACAGTACAGAGTGAAAATCATACCACTTATACTACTGGTGTTACCTTTGACATGGGTCAAGTTGGCTGAAACTGGGATAGCAGTGCTTGTGACTTTTTGGGATGTCCAGAATTTCCCACGGTCAGGTCTTGGTCTATAAGACTTCTATTTTTCGGGCTCATCTTTCTCTTCCTCTGGTAGCAGAAAAAAAATAGAAAAAAAAACACTTAGAGAGAACCTGCACTCCATCCTGAGGTTGTTGTAATTCAAATTCACATCTGAAAACTAAACTCTGAAATAATGAAATATTTCTATTGCTGTGATAAACAATAAAAATGTCCAGCTACTGTGGATGCTCTTGTGTTGTATTAGTGGTATTTGCGCTTTCAGCAGCTCTGCAGGCTGACTCAGTAGATGTCAAATTAAGGGTGTCTCAGCTCTCTTGCTTCCAAGAGGGGAGGAAATAGTTTCTAGCTGGGGAGATACATTTTCTGTGGGTGGAGATCTTGGCTTTTTTAAAATCCAAACATTGAAAAGGATTCTTATTGGCCAGTGGAGTCACATGTGCATTTGTGTATACAGTATTTCTATGTTTATGCATGACCTCACTGTCTGGGTTATGTAAAAGCACTGGTTCAGCTCAATCATTGTTCTATACAGTATAGCTTTTATTAGCCATATGAGCAGTGTATTCTCTTTCTGTTCACGGGGCGTTGCCTGTCCTAATACCTACTGACTCACTTTGGCATTGGGCGTTTTTGGACATCTGCCACAGTAACAGGCAGCCTGACAGGAGCAGAGTTAAGATTAACGACCTAAAGCCAAACCTATAGAGCCCCATGCTGAAAAGGGTCCAAATGACTCTGTTTTTCCCTGTGAGGTAATAGTCTGTTCAGTCTAATGCTTACTGTAGTTGTCGGTTACCAAGGCTTGGCTTGGTTGCTAAGGGCTGGGTGGGATCAAACAGTTTGGCTGGAAATGAGGCTGGGGGCTGAGTTTAAAATGCATTTACTGTAGGCCAGAAGATGAAATGTTAGTGGAGCCATGTTTGCTGCCATTGCATGTGTGTTAATTCAAAATGACTCGAAGTCTGTGACTGGAATTTCTATTTTGTGTAACCATGTGAGTGATACAAACCCATGCTGTTGTTTGTGCTTGTTCTGCGTGAGAAAGCAGGAAAGAGTTTGTTGGAATTGGTGTGTAGGAGTTGGCCTGATGAGTTTGTCCCAGCTGTGCTTGTTAATTCTTTCTCCATATTGACACAATATGGAGCAGCAGCAGAAGAGAACAAAGCTGTGGGATATGGAAAATCATCCCATGTCTAACTGCACTTTCAAAAGGTGTGGCACATTACGCACAAGTTGATTACTTATATCCTTTTATCAAAGAGGGAAATGCGCCAGCTCATCCACATTGTGTTCATTTAATAACCTAAAGCAGAAATTATGCTTAGAGGTTTAACTGCAGAATTAGACTCTTGTAGTTTCAGAAAATGTAGGTCACTGAGAAGACTTGGACCATTGTAATGTTGTTGTTAATTTACAGTTCAGTGTTACAAAGAGGCAGATGGTTCCAATCACTTGCTAATACAAGTTTTAACAGAGTGAGAGAGGATTGTGCTCGGTCATAAAATCGCAGTAGGTCTTGGCTGCAGCTGCAGAGCTGTTTTTATTGTTATGCACATGTGTTCTTTTACATCTTTGCTACACTACAAAAAATGCAGATACACACAATTCAGATTTATCTGATGACCCATTTTTATGTAAAATCCAACAATTTAGCACCACCTTTGACCTCAGGGAGTTTTACATGAATAGGATGTGGCTTGAGTTGTAACAAAGTGAAGAAAGGCTTTCTTCTCTTCCTGAAAGGCTAAGTACACACAACAGACTGGTGCTTTATGAGTGCAGTGTGTCCCTCATGGTCAGGGCTACATTCTCCTGTGGGACATGTGTCTGCCGGTTGCTGCAGGAGCAGGAAGAGAGTATGGAATTACTTTCAACATGCCTGTTTCCCTGTCTGCTACTACTGTCTCAAAGGCATCATTACCTTTAATGTGTTCCAGAGTATAAGACATGTTTGACTACTTGTATGCCTTCATGTAGTGAATTATACAGTATTAGGTTAGTATACAGTAAGCTAGTCCAAGATAACGTCTCAGCATTATGCTGCTTATGTAATGTTTCATCAGTTCTTTCATTCCCTCTTCACATTTTGTGCAAAACCACATTCAGCTGTCGTTTTTTTTTTCTCTGAACAGTCAAATCTTTCCATGAGAGAGCACAATAAGCCCTTAGTCTAACCTCTTGAGAATATTCTTGGCATAAATGCTGCATGGCATCACATATGGTGAGCTAAGTGTTGACGTCACCATCGCCTTCACCTTTCCAGGGCGTTTGATGAACAGTTTAGTCACCCTGCTCCCCTCAGGTTCAATCACACTTCATGCAACTGCTACCCATGCTGAGGGTTTATGAGACACGAGGAGCAGTGAGTCATTCTTCAACGACAGAACGGGCATTGAGGAATTGCGACTGCTTTCAAAGACATTAGTAATTAGCAGTGACAAAAGGGTGTTTCCTAGCTCATAATATACCTGGCATCTCGTTAACCAGTCAAGAGACAAGTGAGGCTACTGGATGGGGCAATGGAAGTAACTTCTGGCATATAAGAAGAATTGCAGTCTAGTGGAAGATGGAAGTAAAAATGACATGAAGTTGGACTGAAGGGTACTAACAGGCTAACTCTGTCAGCAGTGCTTCTGCTAATTAAATCCTTCTGCAGGAAGGCTCAATATTAATGATCTGAGCACTGCTGAACAAAGTCCAGATACGCTTCTACTGTGTGGTTTGAACAGAGTACTACAACAGTTTCTGAAGGGTGTCGATTACAAATTGATGTAACTCCATGATGGGTACGTATGGTTTGGGATACAAATTATGAGTTAATCAGAGAGGAATGAATATTATTGAATGTGTATCTCATGAAATGGGCAAAACAGGACTGCAAAAAAAAGGCGCCCCAACACACCATAATCAGTCAGAGAGGAGTCTGGTTTTGTTCATATATCTATATTGAGAAAGAGGGAAGAAAAATGAATCAAAAACAGAGCAGCTCAGGGTTTTTAGTGACTATAGACTTGCCAAGGGACACTCAAGAGACTGAATTCAGCTTCAGCCATAAACGATTAATACTGTCTCAATCATTTATTCAATAACCATATTATTTTTACAAATCCTGTGCATTGAAGGGGTTGACTCCACTTACAAGGTTGGTTTTCCAAGCTATACCTGTGGGGGGATGGGTGTCAGGATCACATCCGTCCATCTGGTGCTTATTATTGCCTGGCACAGGCCACCACTCGCTGGCCAGGGTCTTCTTAACTAAGCAAGCCCTGTGAGGTCTAAACATGGAGGTCAAGGAGATTGTGGGAACCCGCGGCGAGACACAAATGACCTGCTGTTTTGATTTAAAGGGTGGTCTAGCTTTGACAGGGAGAATTGAAAGAAAGTGCACAGAGCAAATACACAGAGGAACAAAATAATGATGACAGCTAGACTCTGTATATCATCAACAATGTTATATGCTTACTTTGTCTGTTCTTCACTTGCTGCCTGATACTCTTTACAAAAATCTGATGGAACAGATGAAGAATAAGTATTTAAAGGGTTAAAGCTGTTGAACTAAAGGTTTTTAAGTGCCAGTTATGACAAGAGCAGGAAGGAGACTGAGGAGCAAGATTGGCTCAGGGGGCTGAAGACTGGCTGGTGTCCAAAACTGTATCTAATAAACCAAACAGGATACACCCAGACTCTTTGATAGCATCTGTGACGGAATGCTTTTCATCATAGCTGCATATGTGAAATATAATAATATTATGCATTATATATAATGCATATTTATCATTATTATATTATTATTATACATGCAAAAACATGTTACAATGTTACAATTCACTTAGCAGACGCTTTTATCCAAAGCGACGTACATCAGAGAGTAAGTACAACACTAATTCATTCATACACCGCCACCGAAGCAGCGGGAGCAATGCGGGGTTAAGTGTCTTGCCCAAGGACACATCGGACATGTTTGCTCAGCTGGGGATCGAACCCTTGACCTTCCGGTTGAGAGGCGACGACTTTGTGTTTTCTTACACTGCCTCAGTTTCAAGTCATTGTTATGTCAGTATATAACATAAACCAAACATTAATTATTCTTATATTATTCTCTAGTTTGAATATATGAACTATAAACCAAGTCATCACCAAACCCCAGTGAGGTAATATCATGTTTTCCTCTTTTCCAGTTATGGTTTTTGCCGACCTAGGCTCCAATGTCACCCTGCCTTGCCAGCTCTTGTCCAAGGACGATGGTCACATCGGTATCCGAGTCAAATGGTCCAAGGTGGCAGATGACGAGTCCCTGAATGAGGACGTGCTGCTTGCAATGGGATTGCACAGGAGGAGCTATGGCAACTTTTACAATCGCGTCTTTCTGCAGGAGCAAGACAATGAAGATGCTTCCTTAGTAATAAATGATGTGTCCATGGATGACACAGGAAAATACCGTTGTGAGATCGTCAACGGGATGGAAGACACAGTGCAAGAGTTCCTCTTGGAAATTAAAGCTGCTGACCTTAATGGTAAATCCCATTATTTGTATCTATCTAAAGATGTAGCGTCGAGATGGGCTTTAAACTTCATGTTTATATGAAAGTGTGAATGATAGGAGGTGCTTCATCACCAGTCATTTCAAATTTCCTTTCCCTGTTTTAAATGCATGCAAGATTAATAATTTCCTTTAACAATTTTCGTTTCAGTAATTATTGAAAACATCCACTTTTCCATGTTGCGGAAAAAGCGAAACATAAGAACAGAAAACTTGTGCTGATTTATCCAAACCACTGTGATGATTCAGTTATGATTACATTTGAATTATTTTGCCTAACCCAAACTAGAAACACATGTTTCTTTGTTTGCAGTCCATATTCTCATACATCCAATCCACTTATCACTCTAAATTGTCTTCCATTTAAAATTTGCCAAAGACAGATGGCTTTGTCATGCAAGTTAGGTGTATTTACATATTTATCCACAAATTCCTGAAACTTTGCCTTGCGACACCTTAGATCTTTTTCATATGTTTGAGCTCTTCATGAGCCAAAGGCAGCACCCACCCACCTTTTGTTGATCATTTTTCACATGTGTGAAGGCTCTCTCTGGGTGGAGGTTGTACAAGCACACAATATTTTAGACAACAGCTGTGTGAACAGAATCATTATAACTTTCTGATACTTCGGTTCAGCTTCCAAAATGTCTATGGAATACTGAAACAAAATCCATACGATTTTGATGATGTAAAAATGTGGTACAATTTAACTATCAAGCATTTCTTAACTCAAGCCTGAATTGTACTTTACTGATGTGCAAATATGGTGTTGAATTTATATTTCCCCACCACTTCTTGGGTCCATATTCATATTTGGCTTTGCTGAATAATCCAGCAGACCTTAAACCTAGTTGTATAGTTTTTTTTCCTGAAGAGGGGTAGACTAGCAAAACATTAATAAGTTATTAAAGTGCAGACATTTTGAGATACTTAATAGGCCTTCTTTAACTAACATTACAGTCACCATATAGACTTCAACGTTGACATATTTTATCTCATTTGTTTCACCTTTCCTGCATGTCTCAGGTGTTGTGTTCCCATACAACCCCCGTGTTGGCCGGTACAACATGAACTTCCAGGAAGCTTTTCAAGCCTGTGAGGACCAAGATGCTGCGATCGCCACCTATGATCAGCTGTTTGAAGCCTGGAAGGATGGTCTGGACTGGTGCAATGCTGGATGGTTGGCTGATGGTTCAGTGAAGTATCCAATCATCAAATCCAGAGCTCCTTGTGGTGGGGCCAACAATGAGCCTGGTGTCAGAAGCTATGGCCTCCCTGACAAAAACTCTAGCCGCTTTGACGTGTTCTGCTATGCTTCTGCACTCAAGGGTGAGTGTCGATTTTATTTTTAACTATCCATTTTCTTTATTCATTATTTTATATATCTATTATTCCTGTGATGGGAATTCACAAGAGAACACATTGTAATTTAAGGTTTGGGAAAAAATATGCTACGTATGGCCAGCTTAGCAGACAGTTTAAAAGAAAAATCAGAATTATACTCACTGATATTTGAATTAATCCCTGTACAAAATAGAGTTGTTCTGCTAACAGTCTGTTTTACTTTTTCTGCTGTCAGGACATTTCTATTGGCTGGTGCAGCCCGACAGGCTGACCTTTGCTGAGGCAATGCAGGCATGTGTCGATGATGGTGCAGAGATCGCTAAGGTTGGCCACATGTATGCCGCCTGGAAGCTTGAGGGCTACGATCGCTGCGATGCTGGATGGTTGGCTGACGGAAGTGTTCGCTACCCCATCTCCAGGCCTCGTAAGAACTGCAGCCCAACAGAAGGTGCAGTGCGCTTCCTCGGTTTCCCAGACAAAAGAGTTAAGTCTTATGGCGTCTACTGTTACAAAGATAAGCAGTGAGAGGGTAGATAGAAGTAACGAAAACCATAACCACCAAAGAGCTGCAGCAACCACATCCAATAATGTCATCTATAAAGCATTAAAGCTTTGGATTGTAACTAGCATGAACTCAATACCTTTCTGAAACTGTGATAACCATTTTTTGTAGCCATTAAGTTTTGTTTTTCTGTAACTGTGCATCCATTAGCAAAAATACTGTTGAGGAAAAGGCAATGGTGCCAATGTATGAGTGACATGACAGAGACAAGAACTTGATGGTTGTTGCACTTCATCTAAGTTTGTTTTGTCCTCCATAGAATGATTAGATAAGTGAAGTTGCAGATTTAAAGAATTTTTGCCCATAAAGAGATTTGCTGCTCTAGAACAGACTCAAGAACATAAAGGGGCTCCCACTGTTGAGCTATGGATATTTTATTTTCACTAATTCAAATGTTGAAAGGTTTCCAACTTAAGTAGTTGTGACTCAATTTACAGTTTAATAAGAAAATGAATGTAATTGTCTTATTGGGTTGTGTTTTTCTGAATAATAGCTACCATTAGTTCAATCCCAATACATTATGAAAGACATTTATACTTTTGTAACCTCATGCAGTAGGGTTTTTTTTAACTTTTTTTTTGTACTTCTTTTTTTTTTTTAAATCGTTTTACTCATAGACAACGTCTCTTGTTTTTTTTAATGTTAATATTGTTGTTGTTTTTTTTAAATAACCAATTCTGTGATTTTATTTTTCAATGTTGTTCACGGTAGTTTTGAGAAAAGTAACAACAGGTGTATTAAAAAAAACAGCTGCACATCAGGAAGTTAGTACATACAGTATCTCCCTCTTTTGCCCTGAACACAGCCTTTCATGAAAGTATATCTATCTTTCCAGTGGCACTCTTCTTATTCGTTAAATGCCAGAGTAAAGCTAATGATCCATTACACTTCTGAATGAGGATTCATTAATATTCATGGATCTGAATACTTTGGACCACTGTTGGCACTGTTGGACATACAGAGCTGGTTATTGAAACGTGTGTCTCATCGAGAAGACAACACCCTTTCAAGTTATCAGTTACAATAAAAAAATGTAACATTTTACCTTTTTTTACTTTTCTTAATCCTGGGCACTGACAAAAGTATTTACTGAAGGTTACATGTGGTAATATGAAGATGCATTGTTTGCAAAAACAAAACTTAAAAATGTCTGTTTTATTTGTGCATTTGTACACACCTGTGTATGAAAAAATGGTAAAGGTATTTTTGTATCTTGCTGCCATGTACCTTTTTCAACAAGCAGTTTGAAATAAAATATACAACGCTCAAATAAATATAGACTGTTTCATCAATTATTTAGTTTTATACACTGGGACAAAATCAACATGTTTGATGTGGGGTTATAAAGGTTTATTTAAATACTGTTTAAGCTGCCACGGACAGAGGCCATGTTTCTGGCATGTTGCCAGGAGGATTTAAGATTAGACTCCCTTCACATTTATTTATTCTCAGGCAAGGTTTTTTACTCATTGCCAGGGTGCAAGCCCACTACGGAAATAGACAAAGGGAACAGTACTACAGTCTTGAAGAGTGCTTGTAGGAATGCATGGGAATTGGGTCAGATTTAGGGTGATACAATAGTGAAATGCTTGGCAAATGTAAATGTCAATGATAGTGAAAAGTCCATTGATTCAGGATTTGTGTTTACTGGGACAGATAGGAACAGAAGAAAAAATGAGTATGTGGAGAACCTTTGTACTTTTTACAGCTTAGAAACACAAATAACCTTCCATAAAATCGGGGCAGTAAACTATACTATTACTATCTATCTATCTACAAAAAACATGGCATACAATGAGCCTCACAAAATCAACATTTTTCCTGTTGATTTTGCAGGAATAATGCTGAAAATTTACTTTGGTCTGCTTGTATGTTTTGAACCAATCAAATGCTGTTCTGAGTTTTAGCCAGTGTAATGATGCTACATCCCATAAACTTGTCAATCAATAGTATCCAGAGAGGGTAACTTGACTAGAGAAAAAAGTGAATGGTACACACTGCATCAGACAACAACATAATCTGAGGGGCCTGTCAAGCCAGAGCAGCAATCAGGAGCCAAGTTACCTTTAATTTCCAAAACAAACCTAGAAAGCTTGTTAAATCCCCTGGTTGAGGTTTTTCCGCTGATCACCATTAAGACATCTGCATTGCATGAGTCAAGAATGTGGGTAGACTCTTGCTAGCTTATCCAGGAGCTGCCTTTAATCACAAGCCAAGTCTTCTCTAATGACAGAATGGGCAGTCACTGTGAAAACCACAGCAATCTAACCTACATACAGATTACATCTACCGACTTCATGTAATTACCCTGGTAACAGTGCTTTATGCTATTAGGCTGGGATCTTTTTACTGCCATATACGGAGGCCCACTCGGAACTTGTTGAAATTCTATGCACTTCCGAAGCCTCTGTTTTTACACCAACGTATTTCATCTGCTTCTTTAAGCACAGCCATATAGGCATACCAAGTATTAGACATTCAAGAGGAGCCACCTGAGGCCATGCTACTAAGAAACATGTACTGCGATATAGTAATGGAGGTCCACATTTATGCAGCATTAGATGTACCATCCTATGTATTACTTTCCTCTAATCCTGAACCCATTTGTTGTGATTCACATTCACATGTAATATTTGCTTCTCCTGAAAGAACTACTGTGGCTTGTACAGCATGTCTGGTAAGGTTTTTCTGAATTCTGGTAAACATGCAAAACACTGCTATACTGAAAATTATACTCTGCTATGATGTATAATTGTAATACACAGAGTTGTGTTAATGTTTGTCACTGATTGCAGAGTTTTCATGAGTTTTATGAGTATGTGAGTGCTTTGCAGAAGAAAAGAAAATAGTTACTCTGCAACTAACACAAGCTTATAACTTAGTCAGATAGCACAACCTGCTGGTGAAACTACAGCACTACCTACTCCTTAGTGTAAGCGGACACCTTCTGACTTGCATTAAAGAAATATGTATTGAAAGATTGTTACTCAGTCAGAGCACTACAAAAAGACAGTCAAAGATTGAGAATCTAGATGCAGTCCGGCCAAACACGCATATCTTTGGAAATTCAAAGGAAACCACAACATACTGAGAAAACCTACACAATCTCAAGGGGTACATAAACAACACTGAAAAACTGTATAGCGCTGCCAACGCCTTTCTAAACATTTTTGTAAAAAGTACAGATTAAATATGATTTGTATATCATATCAATATATTTATTTTATTTCTTTGGTGATTTTAAGCAGGAAAATACAGTTTATCTTATCAAAAAATCCCAAACATTCACATTTTAAAATAAAAACTGTTATAAATATAAAATGATATTATATGCACATTGAGGCTTAAAAACACACATAGACATTCACAGGCAGAGCGAAATCATTTTTCGATCAAAAAACAAACAAACAAACAGGAGACATACATCACCATCCACAATTTAAAAAAAAGTTAAAGTAACAGAGAATTATTGCAGCCAATTGGGCCCTCTATATTCTTTGGTCCACTGTTGGCATTAAAGGTGTAAAAATACATAAATCCATCGTATCATCTTCCCTTTCAACCAGTCTGTGACCGTGGCTGGTCTCCTGTTGTGCATACAATAAAAAAATATGTGAAGAGCACTGCTGGGCCAGTTGACAGCATCATATTTTAAATGTGAGTATTATCCAACTGAGGAGATGAAGAGCAGCTTGAAAATAAATTATATGCATCCTTGCCAAAACAGCCCTTACGTTCAAGTCTTTTGGTTTTGTTTCACAAAATACATTCTCTCACTGCTTGATTCCAATTAACCACAATAACAGATATGTAAAGTTCGCAGAAGAAGAAAACCATCATAAGCCAAAGAGCATTAGACTCTTTGATTCATTAATAAAAAAACAGCATTACATGTGTTGTAAACATGCTGTAGAAACTAGTTTTAAGTTATGCACGGAACATCCAAAAGCATAAAACACAGGCTTCTTGAGCCACACATCCCTTCTTTAAAAAAAAAAAAAAAGGACATCTTTTGTTATTTGACGATAGAGGCTTATTCCGTGTTTGATTTTGAAAAAACATCCTACAAAGTTATATCAATACATTTTAGATCGTGTTTATAGGAATCTATCAATGAACATTCATCCATTGGCAAAACTTTGATTAGGTGATCTTATAAGAGATGTTATTTGGACTTCCAGAGCTGCCACCACTTGAAAAATCTACAATAATAAACTGAGTGATTTGGTAAGACTTCCCAAGACTTCAATGTGTTCGGGTCTGGAATGTCAATAACTTTCACCAAAAAAGCTATGAAACAATGATCCAGAAAAAATGGATTTGCATCTCTGCTGATGAGGCTTAAACTAGAGAGAGGAAGGCATTAAGGTGTGAAGTTTGATAGGCTGTAGAAAATTCAAAAAAGGCAAATGTAAACTGTGAGTCTTTGCATAATCCATCACTGCCACTGATGCCTCTTTGTGTTTTCAGATGCCATAACTGAATCTCTTGACATAGAATAAACAGTTGGAAAAACGAGGACTTCAATAGACATTTGCATGCATGACCGTGACAGTTAAAGAGAGTTCAGCTTAAAACAGCAAACAACACAATGGGTTTCTTTACATAAAATAAGCGCTATAATTTCACAACCTTTTTCTCTAGGACTATGAACAGTTATGATGACTTTAAATAGCACAGTCAAAGTACAAAGATATTAGACAACAGTCATAGTTGTATTTTTTGATGAGCAAAGGACAGAAAAGGAACTCTGCAGTTAGAAAAAAGAATTATTTTTTTTCCAGTAGCCAGCTGAAAGTATTTGATCCTCATTGGCACTGCACTGCCCCGTGAGAAGAAAAGTCATGTATCAATATATATATTTTTTTTTTTACTAAAAGGCACTTCATAAAGTTCCATCGTCATCCAAGATGCAACAAAACTGCAGATCCATTTGGTTTCTTTTGTGAGTTTTCTCTTGTGCTTTTCCTTTGAAATCCTTTTTTCTCTTTTCACACAAGCATCAACTTTGTGTCCTTGTTTCAATGAAGCTGTTCCATGTTTATTGGCACTCAGTGTCTCTTCCGCCTATGTTGAGTTCTATCTCTCCTTCCTCTGTAAAGCTGTAAGCGGAAGGCCTCATCTGGCCATCTCTTGAAGTTGTTGACGCTGTAGAGACTATTATGTTGATGTCTTCTCATAAAAGTCCTCTGATAGCTCGATGCTGTCAATGAACAAATATTAGATTTATAACAGTGATGGTGCTTTTTAAGGCTCATACAGTGATAGAGCAAAGTGTACTGTATGTAATCAAAACAAAATTCTATACTTACGGTTCATACAGCTGATTTTAGGGTCATCCCACTGACCATTCCCACGACAACGGATAGTTGGGACATGTCTCTGAATAAAGCCTGTCCGGCACTGGTACCTCACCAGTGAGTTGATCTCATATTTCTCACGCTTCTTTCCAAAGGTGCGTGCATTCTCCACAAGAGGAGGCTGGCTACAGGCCACTGAAAAACACAAGTGTGAATATTAGAGGGAGTATTTCTAAAGTAAAAGAAGTATCTGTTGCATGTGTACTTTTTCTATCAAACTCTATTTGTCCTTTTACCTGTGCCCTTCTTGCAGGTGTAGGTGAGGTGGTAGTTGCAAGGAACATCATTCCATTGGCCATCTTCATGCCATATCATCACTACACAGTCCTCGCCAGAGGAGAAGAAGCTGTCAGGCTGGTTGGGCCTCCAGTTTTCATATTGCTAAAATAAGAGCAAGACATGATAATAAGTTGTGTGTCCTCAAGAGGACACTTCTTTGAATCTAAATGTATATTATTATAATAAAACAGACATTCAAACCCTTAAAATCAAGATCAATGTATTTTGTTATTTTATAATGGTTATATGTTATATGTATCTAGCTTGCTGTGGAAAGTGCACGAAACCACACTCATGATGCTAAGAAGGGTGTTGGGCTTAACAAGTATACATGCCAAAATGTGATCGGAGTCACATAGGAGCAAAAAAATCAGGTCACTTTTGCTTGCAGTGTAAATACAGCCTTATTCATGGGATTCACTCAAGAGGAAGCTATATTATGTTCTATGTTGCCAATTTAAATTCACCAACTTACTGAACTTGTCCATAAAGAGGGAAAATGACTAACACAAGGCAGAAATAACTTGTTTGACATGGGTCTATAATCTTTGTTCAGATAAGAGCCAGCTTACTGTGCTGTCAATGCAACCAGTGAGTAGGGTTTTTAATCAAGATTTGAAATCACACTGTTTCCCACTGCATGTTTTTAAATATTATTAATAAGCACCAATAGTTACTCAACAATACCACTGTATAATAATGAAACAATCTTGGATATGCTACAAGTACTGGACTGGAGGTCAATTTAAAAGTTACCTTAAAACTACGATTTATATCATAACCTCACACAGTAATCATTCCTAACATTACACATTTAAGTCTGCAAGCACAAAAATCCACATGCACACACACAAATCCAGATTTACACATCAATACAGTATACACACAGCTGTAGTATTGTGGGGCATTTAGCCAGGAATTGATGCTACCAAAAGTCTTTCAGCATATTCTAGGTTCAAACAGGCCCTTCAACACTGTGATCCCTCACCCCCTTCCCCAAACTCACGCCCCAAGGCTCTGCTAGTCTGTCATTATGGTTAACAAACACACAGCCACTTCCTGTTCAGCTTACTCCAACCTAACAAATGAGTGACCTGTCAACAACAAAGCAGGCCTGTATCCTCCTAAAATAATCAAACAAACTTTGATCCCCCACACATAATCAAAAACACAACAAAAATTGGGTATTTCAGTCCTGATGTGATTCAAACTAATAACTTTTCTTTCAAAATCTCCAAAGGTAATTTTTTAAAAATATTTTTATTTTTTTTAACTCTAGTCTGGTTCATGATTATATTTTAATCCACTGGAAGTGACCACCCACCCAGACTCCCTGGGCTGCTTCTATCAACTGTTTCTCCAAGCACAGGTGCTGTCCATCTGTGTGTCTGCCTGCCTGGTGGCCATTCCCCCCGGGTGGCCCTGCCGGCTGGACCTTCTGATACATGTTAGGGTAGTAGGGGGATCATACCTGTCTACGCCTGCAAAATTCCCCTTTACAGCGTCACTCACACCCTCATCACCCCTCTATCTCTCAGCTAAGCAAGGATCTCCATAGGCTGCCTGTGCTTGCTTCTAACCCCAGGGCTGTCTCCATATCTCCCTTATCTCTGTTCCTGGACGATTATCTTTGAAGTGATACAAGCACATAGTAATTTGCCACTTTCCTGTCTTTTGAGGAAGCTGTTAAGAAGCTACAATCATTAAAGAAAACACACTTCCACTTCTCTGCTGTCTTTTAACTGTATGCATCTCCCTTGCCCAGTCCTTTTCATAGGATTTCGATCTTTGTGCATTGTTACTGCACATAGATTTCTTCTGCTGGGCTCATATTGACTAAACAGCAAGTTCTACAGTACACTATGAACTGAGCCGTCACCCACCATGCTGTAGTGATATGAAGCAGAGGCATGTACGTCGTGAGAAGGTCCCTCTAGCCCAAGAAAATAATTAATTAGCTTAGATGACTGCCTTTGTCATCAGCATCTTGTCCAATGACTATTTCTGTGTCATCTTTGTTAAGACATAAGAATGTGAGAAAGCAGCCTGTCTTACCATAGGCCTGCCATCAGTCCAGCGGAAGTCACTGTCATACATCTTATCATTCAGGCCGATCCATTGATAGTCCTGTCCAAGACCTGTCATACAGGATAGAGTTAAACACAGCAGAACAAGTTTCTTTGTTATACCATATGCAATTTTAAGGACTGGCTACAGAAAGTGCAAGGGGAAGATAAAGAGAGCAATGGCATTATACATGCCTGAATTATTATCGTGCATTGACAATATAACAACCTCTGGGCATTTTATATAGTTTATGTTAAATGTTTAAATCTTCTTCAGGTTAAAATAAGTTCATGTTCTTAGGATCGATGATGTAGTGTAATCAAACATACGGTTAACAAAGTGTTGCTCCTCATGGGAGAGAATGCTGGTGAGATGAGCCCCGTGCATGCGACATTCTCTCTCCGCTGTGTCCCAGTTTCTTCTTTGGGGGAAGTACTTGTAGCAGTGGCCCTGAAACTTGTGCCAGCCATAGTCACATGTCTCCGTATCTGATGGATCAGAAAAAAAGGGAAAATGAGGATCAACGTTTTTTAAAATACAATAACTTCAAGCTGTAACTTGAATCCATGCATAACGAACCATAAAATCATCTTATTCTAACACATAAAACAACCAAACAGGCTACTGTTATCTCTGAATAATAACTCTACTCAGTATGAAAAAATACAAGTTGGATTATATCTTCAAGGCGCTAACAACAGCACTATGGATGCAAACAGTAATATAATAAATTAAGCACCAGTTACAACTAAGCTGTTTTATGTATAATCTGGTGTTGCTGTCCACATTTTGACATGACAAAATTCCAAATTCAATTGAATATGAGCTTAAGAGACTTAAGAGAAGATGGTATTTATAAGGGATCTGAACATAGTCAAGGTATCCTTGTCAGATAATAATAAAAACCACACCTAACCCTATGAATGTCTTGCAATTACAGAAACTCAGATAACTGTATGTTTATTTCCCTTCTCAATCAAGTATCCAAAGAATAACAGAAAAAAATACTTTTTCCAATACTATCCCTCTTAAAGTTATTCTTACTGAGTCCTGGCAAATGTTTTAGTATAGTGGCTGAGTTCACAATCCACAAAAATTGGAATTAAAGTGAAGCACGACTTCAAAGAATCAAAGAAGTATTGTTATATGGGAACTAAATTCTGGTATGCCTTTGGTTGTCACATTTGTTATGTGGTAAAAGCCTTTGGTTGAACCTAAGGGTCATTTTATCTTGTATCTTTAACTGAGTGTCCAAAATGAATATTAAAATATGTGACATGAAGTCTACCATAATTGCAGTACAGTATACACCACATCTGATGCAGAATTAAGTGCTAAATATCTCATGTTCCCACTGTCTGTGTGTCTAAAACTTAAAGAAAATGAAAGTTAAGGATGTTTGGTCCGCCTCCCACAGACTAAGGTTGAGTGATTGTTTTAAGTGTAAAAACAAACTAAAGGAGATCTATTATGCTGATCCATTTTGAAATACATACATACAATGTTACAATGTTGGATAGCCATACTAAACCTATGCAAAGTCTTTAATCACAAGATACACAGTTGTTGGCATGATCCCCGAATGTGGTTTCCTGAAGCTCTGAATGAAATGTTACGGGCACTTCACGAGACTTGGCCAGAATGTGACAGCAAGTATTACAGCAAAGCATGGAAAAAAGCTGTAGGGCATGCCTACAGCTCTTTCAAGAACAAGCCCACCCCAAAGCTCACTCAAATTTCCCTGCAACTGCAAACGGAGCTGGCCAATTGGAGGAAAGTGGGCATGTAGGGAGGGGGGCCTTAAAGAGACAGCAGCTGAAATAAGCCGTTTCTGAAATGAGGGGTTTTACTTTCACAAGTATTAGATAAATAAGGATGTTTTAGAGCAACAGATTTATCAACACTACTCAATAGGTGTACCAGACTGATATAATTCATTGTGAAAGTGAGTTTAATAGATCTTCTTTAACATGTGCAAGACCAGCTGTTTAATCAAGCTTTCATCAATCTGAACTAGAATACTCAGAAATATATGATCGAGAATCTATCAGATAAACAACAAACTTACCCTCCTCACAAAACAGCCCAGTGTAGCTAGGGAGACACACACATGTGATGGAAGCCAGCCCATCAACACATGTACCTCCGTTGAGGCAAGGGTTTGAGTGGCACTCATCAATATCTGCATGAGAAACACAGAACATGAGAAAAGACAAAAGCAAAAATAAATCCTCATCTATACCATATTAAAATAAGTATAATTTAATGCCTCTGAGGTGACAATTAAAGCAATGAGTTATGATGAGAAATTCCTATTTCACAATATCCTACCTGTTTCACAGCGATCACCACTGTACCCAGGAGCACAGCTACATGTGTAGATGCTTCCACTCTGGTAGCAAGATCCTCCATTCAGACAAATGTTTTCAGAACATGTGTTACCTTCTGTGTGGATAGAAAAAACAATAAATAATTTACTTCTTGTACATTTTAATGGGTTCCATAGATAGTCATTTAAAGAAAAGTACCTGGAATTTCAACAGTTTCGCCAAAAACAGTGTGCCCCAATCCAATGTTCGGCTGCGCAGTTGTTTCCTCTGTTCTCAGGGGTGATTCTTCTCCAGTGAGTGATGGAAGTGCAGGTATGTCATGGTTCAGTTTATTATTCCCCTCAGAAAAAGAAGATTGAGTTGAGGCTATGTCTGCAACCGACATCGTCCGACTTGGTTCCTGAGTCAATGTTGTTGTGAACTCTGTATGAGGCCTTATGGGTAATTCAGAGGGATGAGTTATATCTCCCTTACTAACAGAATCCATCTTTGAAGCTGTGGTAACATCTATCTTGTATACAGTCTTGATTTCACTCGGGGAAAGAGTTTGTTCCTCCATACTGTTTAGCTTTGGTTCATTTGTTGTTGACATCTCTTCAGACAAAATCTCAGAGGTGACGGATGTGCTTTCAGAACTGAATTTAGTGCTGAAATAATCGGAAGGTGATCTAGTTGTGACAGATAAATGTTCAGAAGTAATGTTCTCAACCTCATTGCCATTCAGTTTAACAGTGTCTTCTGTGGACATACTTTTTTCTGAGCTGCTGGTGCTTTTTGAAGCACCACCAGAGGAGGATGCAACACTGATGGGAGCTGAGGCAGAAGGCAACAAATTGATGGCTTCTGCTGCCACTACAGGTAACTGTGTTTTATTTTTTTCTGAGCTACTGTCAATGCTACTCACTGATTCAACAGGATAACTCTCAGATCTTTGCAAAACAACAGGTGGGATGGTAGTAGAAACTCCTTCTGTTCTAGGTGTTGTATTTTCATTGAACTGTGGAACTCCTTCTAATAAACTGTCTGTTAAGTCATAATCTGGGATGTTATCTGTATAATCTACAGAGGCAGCCACAGTTTCAGATACCAAAGAAGAGGCAGAACCTGAAATGGAAGCCATCAATGGGGTTTCAGTGCTTAACAGTGAAGACACGGTTGATGCTGGAATGATTTTAGCTTCCGTGGAGATTTGAATTGTTGTTGTCTTCCAAGATGGTTCAACGGAAGTTCCTGAAGAGGTTTCAGCTGAGCCTAAGTCTGTAGAAGATGAAGGCACAACAGCAGCAGTTTCTTCTTCTTTCTTAGTCAAGTTGTAATTTTCAAGTTTTGGAGTAGTATATTCAACCCCAGGAAGCAATGTTCCTTTGGAATATTCTGATGCATCTGTTGTTTTTGAAGGTTTTGCAACATCAGTTGATGTTTTAAGGACCTCACTGCCTTCGTTTGTGCTACCTTCAGCATAAGTTGAATCTTCTATAGTTACAGGTGCTTTGCTTGGTGCCTCAGCTGTCTTTTTTTCTTCTGACAGGGTTTCAACTCTGATATGGGTAGTTAAATCATTGGGGTTCACATGCATGCTTGTCTCCTCGCTGTGTACCATTGGGTTGGTTGTTGACAAGACATTTTTCTCATTGACGTTAATGTTGGGATGAAGAGTGATCTCCGATCTGGCTTGTTGGAACAACTCAGATGGTGTAGTATCTGGTTCTGGAACAAAGGTGGTGACAAACTGAACCATGACATCAGGCTTTGCAGTGCTTTGTGAAAAAACCACTGGTGATGTAGAAATAAATGTTTTGTTAGTAGTGATTTGGTCCTTTGAGTTTAGTTCATGGGCTGGGGCTGATGTTGCACCATCAAAATGAGATGGAACTTTTACAGATGAAGATGCTTTCTCTGTCTCTGAGGTTATCTCACTCTTTTCGGTTTCTTCCTCTTGTGTCATTGTGAGGGGGGTTTGTGTGGTGAACAGTGGGGCTGATATGGCTGTGGATGGGGAGGACATGGATTTTTCTCTTTTAGCTGTGCTGACCATATACTCTTCACTGGACACCAGAGTAACTGAGCTTGTGTCTAATTTTTCCATTAAGGTTTGAGAAGGAAAAGATGAGGAAGTGGTGAGCTCAGTGACAGACTTAGTGCCATCATCAGTGTCCTCATGTGATAAATCAACTGGTCCTGGTTTGGTACTCGTCTCAACAGGGAAAACTCTCTGTGGTGTAGTAGAATCAGAGCTTAAGTTTGTAGACACAGCAGTAGTTGCGGTGGCCTGCAGTGTGATTGTCTCTTCACTGGATGTCTCCATACTAGAAACAGTGGATGGTTTTGTGGTGGACAGTAAATATTTAGAGGATGTTGATGTTGATCCAAATGACAAATCCATTGCTGGACTTGCATTTAAAGTTACTGGTGTAGGACCAGCTTGATCAGTCCCTGAACCCTCTGGTTCTTCTGTTACAATAAACGTTTGTGTCATTGTAACTGCTGTGACACCTCCAGCTTCCTCTCTCTGGATAGTGGGGTAAAATGAAGAAGATGGAACTATGACCATAGTATCTGCATCAATAATAATATTATCCTTGATGACAAGCTCTGGAGTGGGGTTACCTTGCGTTATAGTGCCGGTAACTGTTGAGAATAGGTCATTTTTTGCTTCCTCTGTAAATATGATGCTTTTGCTTGTTGATGGTTTAGACACATGCAGGACCATGGTGGGCGTTTGTTCAGATAAGTCAGTCTTTGCTTGGCTGCCACTGGGGGTAATGATCACAACCTGTTGGTCTGTTACACTATGATATACAATTGAGGGTATTGGGGTGGACATTCCTGTGAATCCATCTTGCTTCTGTTTGCTGCTGGAACTTATGTTGATGAAGTCACTAGGGTGTTCACTAACTGAATCTTCGGTTGAAAGGGGGGACATAGTTGTATAGGGCGATTGCATTATATGATCAGCTACAATACCGTCATTTTTACCCGTTTTCAAAACAGTAGCCTCTGTCATGTCATAAGTAATGGGGCTCTCAGTATCCATAGTACTTATAGCCTCCTGTAAAGAAATCTTCTCATCAGAGGTTGGGATAATAGAAACTAAGGTTTCAGTTTCACCTGTTGCTTCTCCAAATGAGGTGTTCTCTTCCACTGATGGCTTTGAGGTAAAAATCTTAGTAGTTTGGTGAACCAAGCTCTTTCCTACTGTAAAAGTAGGGCCTGGAATTGTGGTTGATATTTCAGTTGCAGATATAGATGTGCTAACTGACTGGGTAGGTGTGACTGCATATGCCACAGTCATATTTGGCATCTCACTGTTGTAGACAGAAGAAGCAGTTATAACAGAGTTTTGAATATCAGATATACCATCTTCATGTGATGCTGTTGTTTTAGGTTTCTGCGTGGTAAAAATAGTAGAAGTACTTGTGACTGGTACAAATGCAGTTGACCCATTTGAAAAATCTATATCTGCACTTTCTACCTCGTCTGCAGTGTCATCTGGGAAGACTCCACTACCCTGTTCACTGATGGAATTTTCATTGCTTGTCATATGCGGTGATTGGGTTGATGACATGAATTCCTTAGTAAGCAGAGTACTGGCAAGAGTCGAGGATACAGTGTTTAGCATGCCTGATGTTCTGCCATTCTCATATATTTCAGTCTCTTCAGTGTTCACAACAAATTCTTTAGAATCAACTGATCCCTCTGCACCAGATCCATCTGTACTTGACTCAAAATCATACCCTTCACCTGAGTCACCTGAATTCTCGCTGTCAATGAAGGTAGAGGTTTCCTTTGAGGTAAACACTGTGACACTAGGGATTACAATGGGTTGCAAGGCTTTGATTGTATTGGAATTTGTGACGCTTAAAAATTCTTTAGTAACAGCAATTTCATCCTTGACAGTAATTAATGGTTTAAAAGTGGGGGTGATTAATGTTGTTGTTTGCACAGAGGGTCCCTCAGTACCTGTTGTTTCTTGGGAAGTTATATCTGAGAATGGAGAAGTGTGTTCTACTGAGTACTCAACTTCAATAGAATCACCACGTCCAGAGTCAGGTACTACTGTCATAGTTTCAAATGAAGACTCCTCTGTTTCAAACAGCAGTGAGGATTGGGTTGATGAATGTCGATCAGGTTGGAATGTGTTAATCTTTGTTGTTATAATATCTATTGGGGCCTCGAAGCTGTCAACTGAAGATTTGGCTGTAAAGTGGGAGGTTGTAGAGAACATGGTGACTGGTAATATTGGTTGCTCTGTGCTGAACAATGAGGGGGCTGTTGGAGCTATAATGTCTGCAAGTGAATCCTCAGATCTCTTTTCTCCTGAACTCTCTTGCTCTGTTGTTGAAATGGTAGAACTCAACATCGATGGAGAGGACATTTTCTCTATCTGACTTGTGGTTGCAAAAACCTCTGTTTTAGTTAACATTGAGGTTGGTTTCATACCGCTGGTGGTTGATGAGGCTGCAGGTACAGTGTTTTTTGGAGAACCACGTCTTTCATACTCCAGTGATACTGTTGCTGATGGTGCCTCAGTGCTATAGAGTGAAGATTTAGCTGTAACATGGGAGGTGGCAGAGAACATGGTTTGGCTTTGGTCAACTGAGATATCTTCCACTGTTGCTGTCATTAGAGAGCTTTGCTCAATCGTTCCGGAAAAAGGTGTTACTGCAGGATGTTCTGTCCCATCTATGTCATTATTGTCTTGTCCAATAACTGGCAATGCTGTTGGTTTCTCTGTGCTGAACAATGAGGAGGCTGTTGAAGTTGTAGTGACTGCAACTGAGACCTCAGTTGTCTGATCTCCTGAGCTCTTTTCCTCTGTTGTTAGAATGGTAGAACCCAACATCGAAATAGATGACATTTTCTCTGACTGACTTGTGGTCGCAAAAACCTCTGTTTTGGTTGACATTGGGGTTGGTTTCACACTGCTGGTGGTTGATGAGGGTACAGGTACAGTGGCTTTTGGAGAACCACTTATTCCAGACTCCATTGATGCTGTGGGTGATGGTGACACAGTGCTTGATAAAGAGGAGACAGTTGTTGCTGAGATAAGTAACTCATCCGTGATATCAGTAGTGCTGTCTCCAGAACTCTCAATATCAGTGGTAGAAAGGAAAT